GGATCTCTTCGGAGCGGCGGCGGCGGCGGGCGGGGAGATGCGGGAGTTTTGGAACGCGTCGCCGTTCGAGTCGAAAACCCCTTTCGAGTTTGAACCCGACGATTCGGGACGGGGAGGCGCGCGATACGGCGACGACGACGGCGCGGGCGGCGCGCGGCGCGCGCGAGGAGATCCGTACGGCGAATATCCACCCGCGGCGGCGGCGAAGTCGGCGGTGGACGCGGTGCGACGCGCGGCGGCGGCGGCGCCCCCCGCCGCGGCCGCCGCCGTCGATGACATGGGCGACGACGATGTCGAGGTCGAGGTAGACGCGCCCGCCGTCGCGTTCCAGGGCGCGGGCGGCGCGTCCGAGGCTGGGTTCTCGTTCACGGGGGTGGAGGAGGAGGACGACGACGAAGTCCTTAAGGAACGGCGTTCACCACGCGAACGCGGTCGTATGGGAACCAGTCACGACGACGACGACGACGACGACGCGCGCGTCGTCGACGTGGAAGCGCGCGCGGTGCCGTTCAACGAATGGATGAACGGCGGCGCGAGCGCCGCCGCCGCCGCCTCCGAGAGCCCCTCGAGCGCCTCCTCCCCGTCAGGACCTTCGCCTCCTCTCGCGGAAGAGCGAAGAGACGCGTTCAGCCGCGGCGAAGGCGCGCGGTCGGCGGCGGCGGCGTCGGCGGCGGCGTCGTCGGCGTCGTCGCGGTGGACCGCGGCGAGGAGTTACCGAGGCCAGGGCGCGGGACGGTCGGAGCGGTGGACGTCCGCGCCGCCGCCGCGGTCGGACGCGGGTCCCGACGGTCCGTCGTCGTTCGCCGGCGGGTACGAGGACGCCGCGGGCGCGGGCGACTGGACGAACGAGTTTCGCGGTTTCGGCGGTTTCGGCGGTTTCGTCGACGGCGGCGACGGCGCCGGTCCGGACGGACGAACCGCGCGCAACCGATGGCGCGAGTTCATGACCGGGCGATTCTACGGCGCGTATCAGGAGGACTTGGTCCGAAGCACGCGCGCGACGGTAAATAACGTCGGGGACCCGGCGTTCGGAGGCGAAGCGCGAGAGCCGGAGCGGGGCGGGGCGGCGGCGGCGACGGGCGAGAGGAGGGACGCCGACGCCGCGAACGACGACGACGCCGGCGTCGACGTCGACGCCGCCGCGGGCACGGACGCACGGTGAGCGAGCGAGTGAATACATAATAGAACGAGGATATCCATATGATAAAACGACGCGCGCGAGATCCGTCCGTCCACACATCCATTAAACACCCGCCGCCGAAACGACCGCCCGCCGTCCCTCACGCCCCCCCCTGCTGCGCCGCACCGGCGAATACGGAATCCGTAAACGTCGGCAACAACCCCGGATGAATCAGCGCGATCTCGCTCTCCGACGCCTTTCGCACCGCGTCCTCCCCGACCCCCGCGTACGCCTTCGCCGCGCTCGACATCTCCAAAAACAGCTTGTGCCACCGCACGTCGGACGTCACCTCCGGGTGGAAGCTCGTCGCGAGCAGATTGCCGCCCTGCTTCACGGCGACGATGATCTTCTCGACGTCCTCCGCGTCCGTGCCTCTCAGCTCGGCTCTCTTCTCCTCCGGCAGCGCGTACTCCGCGAGTACCTCCACGCCGGGCCCCGCGCTCAGTATCGCGGGCGCGCGGATGAAGATGGCGCGGAACGGCGTGTCGGAGCCGTCGTCGGCGTCCGGGACGGCGCAACGCATCGACGTCTCGAACGAGTCGATCTGATTTGGATGGGTCAAACGAGGGTCGTCAGGGCGGAGTCGAAAGGCGGCGTCGAAAGGCGGCGCGTCGGGATCGAAACCGAGGGACGGGCGCGGAGAGAGACGAAAGAACGCCGGGAGAGAAAGTCCTTAAGGAATCGCGTTCACCACGCCGACGCGGTCGTACGGGGACCGGTGTGGTAATAGAACGCGCCTGCGATCCGAAAAAGTTGCGATCGACCGTCACGTCGAGCCCGCCCAACAGCTCCTGCCCGCCCTGCTTCGCGCCGCGCCCGATGCGGTCCGCGAGGAAAATCAGCCCCGCGCACGTGCCCCACACCGCGCCGCCGCTCGCGGCGAAGTCGCGAAGCGGCTCGAAGAGGTTCCATCGCCGGCAGATGTTCGCCATCGTCGTGGACTGCGGGTCGTTCCGTACGAGCGATGATATCGGGGTGGAGTTCAAAGGCGTCAGAAGCGGAGTCGAAAGGCGTCGTGGGCGGGGATTGAACGCGAGGGATGGGCGGGGAGACGCGCCGGGAGAGAAAGTCCTTAAGGATCGGCGTTCACCACGCCAACGCGGTCGTATGGGAACCAGTGTACAGAACGCACCTCGCCGCCGGGGATGATGAGCCCGGAGCAGCCCACGAGCTGCTCCGCCTTGCGCACCTCCACGGGCTCGCCGCCGCATCGGCGGACGTGCGCGCAGTGCTCCGCGAACGAGCCCTGCAGCGCGAGGACGCCGATCTTCGTCTTCGTCTTCGGAGGAAACGCGGGGGGGGGTTGCGACATCGCGAGCGACGCGCGCGAGAGGACGCGGCGCGGTCGACAGTGCCGCCGACGTCGGCCGAACGCGTGCGGACACGGACACGTGTGCGGCGCAGAGTTCACGAGACGTCGACATCTACGAAAAAGTGTTTCACCCGTCCCTCGGTTTCAACATTTGATCGCTCACCCCTTTCGACTGACCGATGAACATTTTTTCTTTAGCCCACTACCGACTGTACGGAAACGCCCTTGAGTGGGCACCTCGCCGCGCGTCGTCGCGGACGGACTATCCCACCGCGCCACCCCGCGCCTCACGCCCCTCCCTCACACCCCTCCGTCCGCCGCCTGACCGCGTCTTCGAGCTCGTACAGCTCCTCGTCGTCGATCCCGAGCTCGCGCATCGCGGTCGCGAGGTTGAACAAGTACTCGCGGTTGGGCCCTGAGGGTCGTCGTCGGGGCGGAGTCGAAAGGCGTCGGTGGCGGAGTCGAAAGGCGTCGTAGGGTCGAATGTTGAAACCGAGGGGCGCGCGGAGAGAAACGCGCGCGAGCGGGAAGAAAAAGAAAAGTCCTTAAGGATCGGCGTTCACCACGCGAACGCGGTCGTATGGGGACCAGTGTGACGAATAGGACGCGCCCGACGGTCCGACGGCGCGCGCGATGGTCTTCGCGATGTCATCCACCGGCGCGTGTCCCAGCCAGTTCAGGTTGCTCTCGTGCGCCGTCGCGACGTACGTCAGCGCGTTCTCGACGATGACGGGGGCGTCGTCCGAGGCGTCTTCGTGGAGGGGAACTAAGATCCGCTGATCGTATTGCTTTTCCCGGATCTCTAAAAGATCTAGAACCGCGGGGGCGTCTCTCGGGGAGATCTTGTACGCGGCGCCCCAACATCGGACGTCGTCCCCGCACGCCTCGAGCGTGACCGTCCTGCCGGGGAAATCCGGCGTGCCTCTGTGATCCGTGGAGCCCTGTGATGAATGAATAGGGATGATAAACGGTCGAGTAACGTGCGTTAGGTTGGGGGAGTGGCGCGCGTCGGCGCCGGTCGGCGTGGTGAAGACATCGATCGAATGCCAAACGATGATGGATAGAGAACGACGCGTCTCGTCTCGCACCTGGTAGAACCGTCGTCGCCACCCCCGCGCGACGCACACCCTCCGCTCCTCGTACTCGAACCCCGTCTTCCACACGATGCTGCCGTACCCGAACACCCACAGCGGCGCGTCCGGGTCGAGTCGCAGCGGCTCGCGCTGAAAGTGACCGACGTCGTGGTCAGCCGGGCGACGCGCGGCGTGACGCGGTGGGGACGCGTGGCATCGCGTCATCGTCGTCGTCGTCGTCGTCGTCGCCGCCGTCGCGACGCGCGAGGCGGCGGCGGCGGCGGCGGATGCTCGCGTGCCGCACGTCGAGGTCGTCGACGCGAGCATGGACGCGAGGCGCGGCGTGCGCGCGCGATGAGACGAGTTACGACATCGACAATGGAAAATCACCCATCACGAAAACCAAAACCTTGACGCTCTCTCGCTGGCATAAATGGCGGGCGCGTCGAACGGCGCGAAGGCGCTCGCGCGCGTGACGTCGTACAACGTCCTCGCGCAGTGCTACGTCCGCAGCACGCTCTTCCCGCACAGCCCGAAGTTCGCGCTCAAGTGCGTCCGTCCGTCCGTCCGTCCGCGCGTCGTCCCCTGATCTGACCTCGTCGTAATGATCTCACATCAACTCGGCACCTCTCCCGCTCGTCCCGCCTCCCTCTTCACGCAGATGGAAACGCCGAGGCGAGAAGCTCACGGAAACGCTCGCCGCGCTCGACGCCGACGTCCTGTCGCTCCAGGAGGTGGACGCGTACGACGAGCACTGGGCGCCGTGGCTAAAGCGGCGCGGCTACGGCGGCGTGTACAAGCAGCGCACGAAGCTGACGAACGACAAGAAGGACGGATGCGGGCTCTTCTTCAAGCGCGCCAAGTTTGAGCTCCTCGCGCGCCGGGCGATCGAGTACAACGACGTCGCGTACGGACGGCCCGCGGGGTACGTCAAGACAGGGGCGGGGGCGGGGGAGGAAGAGGAGGGGGAAGGAGCGGGAGAGGTGCGGAGTTGATGTGAGATCATTACGACGAGGTCAGATCAGGGGACGACGCGCGGACGGACGGACGGACGGACGCACTTGAGCGCGAACTTCGGGCTGTGCGGGAAGAGCGTGCT